CAAGTTCATTAACACTACAGTGGATGCCAACCCCACCCCCAATTAATAGTATGAAAAGCATGCAGATATATGCAAATTTCAGTCTTAAAGATAGAAGAATCATTATAATCATTCTCAGACCAGGGATATCCTTTAAGAGACTTGTAAAACTTATTTTACAATATTCTAAAAAAAAGAAAAAAGAAAAAAAAATACATGCAGTCTAAATAGATTGTAGGCAGGTGATCACAAGTAAAAGGTTTGAAACCAGTCACATAAATCTTAAGGCTTAGAGAAAAAAAAATATTTAAAAAATTCTGAATAATGTCCTATGTTATGAATAATCATTCTCTATACTAGTATGCTTTATTGGAGTAAGTTTTCCAATCATGATGCATATTCACATCCACAGCAGCCATAAACTACACATTTATTTCCCGCAGGACATGCATTCATCCTCGTCTATGTCAACTTGCTTATTGTGGAGGAAGCGAAGGCTATTGTAGGCTGGGAAGGCATTAGAGATCAAATTCGCATGGAGGACCACAGAAGAGGAGAAGCCACGAACGATCCTCAAGAAACCAAAACGCCGTTAGAAAATTTAACCGAGGACGATCTTATCATCTTAAAGGTTCGTGGGGAATGTAATTCATTTATTTAGTGGTTTGTTTATTTATTTAGCTTTTAGTTAGTTTTTTTGTTCTTATTATTGTTATTGGTATTATTACTTTTTTCTGTTATTATTATTATTGGTAGCAGTAGTAGTATTGTTATGGTCATCATCACCTTCATCATCATCATTACTATTATTTTATTATTATAATTTTTTAAAACTATTGTTACTGTTATTATTATTAGTAGTAGTAGTAGTAGTAGTAGTATTGTTAATGTTATGATTATCATCATCATCACTATTACTAATAGTAGTTGTAGTAGTAGTAGTAGTAGTAGTAGTAGTAGTAGTAGTAGTAGTAGTAGTAGTAGTAGTAGTAGTAGTAGTAGTAGTAGTAGTAGTAGTAGTAGTAGTGCCACTGATGCTGGGTAAATGTACCTTCAACTCAAGTTTTCTTTTGTGAATTTTATTGGCACATAGATTACTACACAAGTGCTCTGCCATCAAGGAGCCAATGAGTATGCCTTTGTGACCTCCCCTAATTTCCCCTTTCCTCGTGATTGTTTGTAATAATGTTTTTTTCTAATGCTTTTAACTCTTTGGCATTGTGTGCCTTGCTGCCCACACGTAGCACAAAACCCAGGCATTAGGCTTACTTGAAAGGCGGCTCTCCTGGCTTGTGTGCAGTGTCAAGCCTTCTTGCCACCTTTTTGTATTTTTGCAGTGTTAGTATCTCTTTTTCCGCAGAAGCATTTTTTTGCCTTTTTGCTATTTTTTAAGCTTTATTTTTGTCATTTGAAATACTGTCTGAAGATGGTAATAGAGTGTTTTCCTAGCACAGACTCCATATCATCTCTCTAGGTAGTCTGGAACTATTTTTTTTATATTTTTATATGATTTAAGTTTCTGTAATACAGTGCACCACCAGTCATAGTAGGAATAGCATCCTTGGAAATAGTGTTCTCCCAGGAGCCAGCGCTCATTTATCCTCGGCTCAGATTGTACATTCTACATTCATTTACTGGTGTAAAAAATGCAACTGAATATGTTCTTCCTTCAAGTGCTTAATTGCATCCATTGCAATTCATTCCCATTACTCCAGCCTTCAGTAAAATTTTCATAACAACTCATTTCCATCATCCTGGCCCTGGCAAATTAATATCACCAATATCCAATGGGTTAGTATTAATGTTGTTGACATTATGATTATAATGTTATTAATGATACTTATCCCTTAGTGAGTAAACAGTTGTGGAGATATCTATGTGTAAAGACAATTAATGAACAACAAAAAAAAAAACACACTATGGACATGGCATGTACTTTTGCCATTCTGGCATCCAAAGTCTTACAGAAAATGCAGACATTAGCAGGTGACTTAACCAGACTAATTTTGCAAAGCTTCAAAAACTATGTTTTTTTCTGTGTTTTATATGCCCGAACTGTTAACAACAGAACATTGCTAAGTATTTTATCCATGATATTTAGAAGTAATATAAATTATACTGTACTTCTCACCGTACTCTTGCAATTACAGTTAAACTACGAGCAGTTCACACCAATTATCAGAGGCATTTTCTTTATCATGACCATGATGAGTGTCCTAAGTGATGTGATGCTGGCGTGCACTGTCATGTTCTTCCATACAATGCCACAGAAAGTAGCTGGAGGTGCAATTGCTATGGCTACATGGTTCTGTACATACAGGTGAGTGTTTTTGTTTTTATCTTTCTTTCTTTAATGTTTGATGCTGAAACATTATCAGTATGCTAATTTGTGTATTCATGAGTGTTCAAGCATGTAACCTTCCATACATGCATGAGAGAGAGAGAGAGAGAGAGAGAGAGAGAGAGAGAGAGAGAGAGAGAGAGAGAGAGAGAGAGAGAGAGAGAGAGAGAGAGAGAGAGAGAGAGAGAAGAAAAGAAAGAAAGAAAGAAAGAAAGAAAGAAAGAAAGAAAGAAAGAAAGAAAGAAAGAAAGAAAGAAAGAAAGAAAGAAAGAAAGAAAGAAAGAAAGAAAGAAAAAAGAGAGAGAGAGAGAGAGAGAGAGAGAGAGAGAGAGAGAGAGAGAGAGAGAGAGAGAGAGAGAGAGAGACAGACAGACAGACAGACAGACAGACAAACAAAGCGAGAAATAGAGATGCACCAAAATCTAGTATAAAACCATAGATATTTACATTGAGATTGGATGCAAACATAAAAATAAATAAAGGTGCTTGGATTTTTTTCTTTCTTTCTTTCTTTCTTAAAGGGCAATGAATAATGGAAAAACTGTTTTTTCAGATTATGGTATAAATATGATGCTTCTCCAGGATTGCCTGGTTCTGGTATCTTCCAGTACCAGACTGTAAAAGAAAAGCCAAAGGATAGTTCAAGCAGATTGAGAAGACGTTCCTCTATCTGCAAGGTATGCTGCATTTATTTATTTATTTATTTATTTATTTATTTATTTCCTAATCCATTGTTTATATCTGTCCAGTTTCTCTATTACTCTTGTGTGCCCTTTATAATGTCTGTTTCCCACCCCCTTTCCATCTTAGTCTTTCTCTGTTTCTTAAGTTCTAGCTTCATACTTGCCTCTCTTTCACCATTATTTTCTTCCAACCCTGATTCTCCATCAGTCTTGCATTCCCTGAACTTCTGCCTAGTCTACTCATTCACTGTTTCTCTCCTATTTTCTCAGTCTTTTCTGTACTCTCTGTCCACCTGTTTAGTGATTTGAACCTTTTGTTATTGCATTATCCCATATTTCTCCCCATGTATTAAAATTGTTTTTATTTGTCAGATGTATGTCAAAATTTACAGCAATGTAACGTTTTTGCCCATTTCAGGAACACAAGGATAGTTTACCAACATTTATGGGAATGCCGTTATATGGCCTAAAGAAGGATATAGAGGATAAGAAGAAAGAGAATGAAAAAGAAGAGGACAGGTCTGGCTTGGAAGATTTTGGGGAAATGCCTGACCGTAGTTCAAGAAATGGAGTATACGGAGACTTTGGTTCCTCAAGAAGTAGAACATGGAGGAGGTAGAGGGCAGTAGAGTGATTTATAAAGTAATTTTTCTGATACTAGCAATATGCTTCAGAAATGTTCTGTCATAGAAAAAATAATTACACAACTATTGAAACTCTTTATATGCTTATCGTTCACTAGTCTTTTTATCAGCGAAACTGCTTTTCTTAGCCATTTTATACCTAATTTAGATATTTTAACATGACAATGTGTGAAAGAATTTGCCTAATAGATATCTAGTCACAATCAATCTCTAGACTGCACAAATCCTCTGAACTCTCAAATGCACTAGTATTAATATTACTCTTACAATGCAGATGTTAAGATTAGGATCATTTTTATACACAAGCAAATGCTCAGTCAGGCATACAAGGTATTTGTTTTTATATGTATATACTAATACATCAGCAGAATTTCAATTAGCTTCATATGGTGCAGTTAATCTCATATATATTGAATAAATTTTTGAAGTATACCATATTTGACAGAATATTAGACCCCCCCTTAATTCAGCACAGCTTCTCTCTCTCTCTCTCTCAGATTCAGACTCTCTCTCTCTCTCTCAGATTCAGACTCTCTCTCTCTCTCTCAGATTCAGACTCTCTCTCTCTCTCTCAGATTCAGACTCTCTCTCTCTCTCTCAGATTCAGACTCTCTCTCTCTCTCTCTCTCTCTCTCTCTCTCTCTCTCTCTCTCTCTCTCTCTCTCTCTCTCTCTCTCTCTCTCTCTCTCTCTCTCTCTCTCTCTCTTTCAAGTACATCTTAAATACTGTAAAATACAGTATATTTTATTTGTTCTTGGCAACTATTCAGACAACACAGTTATTAGGATACAAACCAAAGATCACTTTCACCCTTTCATTTCATTACCAAAACCTTTCCCATCTCCATTTAGATATTTTTTAGGAGTGTGAGTGAAATATTTACAACATACCCAATACTGTAGACCTTAGTTTTACGATGAAGATTGTTTTGACTCACACGGCTCCTAGTACAAGACTGTGGTAACTCCATCCACACACATTTGCTTTTGGACTCTGTGGTCAAATGGCAGCTTGTTGCAGGAGGCTTTCTTCCTCTTTGGATCCGTCTGGAGTCTCAGATTCAGTCACCTTTTGTTTTTGTATTTTCTGAGCTGTAAAATTTTGAACAGCTGTCAGTTATGATTTCCAAGTGGAATTACTCTGGATAGAGAGAGAAAATTATATGCAAAGCAGGTTAGGACCCATATTTTATTACATGTTGAAGAATGAAAAACTAGTTATAAAATTTTTCTTCTTTAGTGAAGATACCATCACTAATTTGCATGCATTTGTATTGATGAAGAATGCATCTGCATCCTTTCATGGATGTATATGATTGTTAATTATTCCAATAATGCAAATTATTTATGGTTGTGGAAGTCAGGTACCAGTGTTACTTCCCTTCTGTCTTTGAGTGTTGCATTCATTCTGGCCCTGATATTCAAATTATTTATATAGTATGTGAATTTCTTATTACTATAAAATGTTAATCCAGTTTGTCACAAACATGTTGAATTTATAATGTGTTTATAATGCTTACTATTTCACTTGTCTTTCATAGTTTCTTTAATATTCTACCACTGCTTGTTGATGATAAATCTAGAAGTGTATTCTTCATACCATTTTCTTCATATATATATAATGATGTGTATTTACTTATCTGTTTATCTTTGTACACTATGCTACTTTTTAAAATAATAATAATTATTATTACTGTCATCATTACTATTACTACTATTTTTTTTTTATAATTATTTTTAATATTAGTTTGGTGTATCAAATAAACTAATTTCCCAGTTATTTATTTTTGTTGGCACACAACATTGTTTTTTACTTTTCTCATTATAAAGATAATGATGATGACAAGTCCATACTCTTGCAAAAATATTTCTTTGGGAATTATTGTATTCGTAAACAGGAGCCATTTATGCAGAAGTTAGGGTTGTAAAAATAGTTTATCCCATTGATAAATTCTAGGGGTTTCAAATATGATGAATGCATAGAGATGGTGTGCAAGAGATAAAAAAAAAGTACAAAATTGCATAGATACTTTGCAGTTCTAAGATACCACCTCTGGCATTTTCCATTCATAGTAGTACCTTGAGTTATTTTTAGTTGATAATACGAAGTGTATCACTATTTCATAATTGCAGAAAGGTGTTTAGTTTGTGGACTCAACAACATTTAAAGAGCATAAGGATTTTTTCAGTGTAACCTGTCTTGTCTTTCCTCTTAATGAGTTCAAGTGTTTGTTGAAAGTTGGCAAGTTTTAACCATTGCTCAATCCTGCCTAGTCAGTGTCTTATTGTATTATTTATATCAGTGGTTTTTAGGACATTTGTGTTTTTATATATGTGTGCTAAACATTTTAGGAATATCCTTAGAAATCCATGTTTGTTCCATCTTTGTGTAGTACATCTGGTCCTCTACAATATCAGGATATTTACCAGAGGATAAAAGCAATTTAAGATACCCCTTTTACAATTTTCTTTAATGTGTTCTTGCAGCTAAAATAATTGTCAGTGTATTTGAAAACTAAAATGCATTACTAGCATGGAACAATTATAAAAGTAATATATAGAAATATTTATATTTTTGGCTGAAATCAGATAAATGCCTCAGTTATAAGCAAGTTTGGTTTCCATATACAAGTTATTTATTTGTAAAGAGTAAAACTAAAAATAATGGACTGTGATAAATACAGGCAAGAGGCAATGTGGGCATTATTTTATATTATTCCTAATGTTAACCACTTAATATCCACATATTAGTGTAAAAAATTGTCTAATGAAATATAGCACAAAAACATATTTTGATTTCTTTATTCTTCCAAATATTTTTTTGGTTGCATGTATCCTAATACAGTTGGTAAATTCAAGACACAGTTTACAGTGATCTTGAAAAAATAACTGTGCTATAATCAGGATATATTTTATAGTGAAAAAAGGAAAACATTGTAGTTATTATAGATAGAGCTTATTTGTATATGTTATTCCTAATGTTAACCACTTAATATCCACATATTAGTGTAAAAAATTGTCTAATGAAATATAGCACAAAAACATATTTTGATTTCTTTATTCTTCCAAATATTTTTTTGGTTGCATGTATCCTAATACAGTTGGTAAATTCAAGACACAGTTTACAGTGATCTTGAAAAAATAACTGTGCTATAATCAGGATATATTTTATAGTGAAAAAAGGAAAACATTGTAGTTATTATAGATAAGAGCTAAAGTTATATCACATTATTCACAAAAGATATTGCAAGAAATTTCTCATTTAAAAGCTGAAAAAGGGAACCTTATGGACAGCAAAACTCTTGCTTCACAAGGAAACATAGAAAAAAAAAAAAAAAAAAAAAAACTAATATATATATATGTTGAATGGGATAATTAAATAAATGTTCACTTGTTTCGTCTCCTGCTGTGTCCACAGAAGGGGCAGGGCCTATGACACTGAACACATATTCATTATTTCTTAACCCAATGTCAGCAGGTGGCAAGACTACAACACCATGCTCACTGTAATAAGAAGTTTATCTATTGTCTTTACACATAGGTGGCTCTACAAGTGCTTAGTCACCAAGGAGTCAGCTATTGGTCTTATCTATCTCACCCTTCATTTTTTGAAAGCTTCACTTCTATTGTTTTATTGTCTTAGATGTTATTAATATTCTAATAATAATTTAATAATCATAATATCAATAAAAATTATAACAATGTCAATAGTAGTAGTATTAAAAAAAATTGCATTTTCCCACATATTCAAGGAATGGGGAAATCAGTATCAGTCACTAGGGCCAACTGATATATTCCTTGTTGCTGTGCACATGTGGAGCCATGTGTATGTAATAAAACTCATTAAAATCTAAAGGGGACAGTAAATAAACCTGCTGACATAGGTTAAGTAATGTTGCCATATTAGGCAGTTTCTAGTCTTTGGCCACTAGGAACACACTTGTCTTTTGTCCACACAGGAAACCAGGCATTAGTTTCCCCACCCATGACAACATTTGCAAATGTTCCAGCTACCCTCCTTCTGAATTGGAACACAATATGCTAAAAGGGTAAAAATGAGGTAACAATTAAGATAAGTGGACAGAAGAGGATGAAGAGAAGGAAAAGGAAAGGGGGAGAAGAAAAGAGCATGCAAAATTAGTTGAGGCGAGGGCTGGTCTAAGGTAGGGGTGATCCCCTACATTGGGTGTCTCCATCTCCTGAGCCCCCTTAAGAATACAAGAAGCAAGGAACTTGGGGTGGAACTGGAACACAAATGTGTAAAAATATTTGCCAGCATGGGTACTGCTCCCTGTGTAAACACACTAATATGTATTAGGGCCAGCAGATGGCAGATGTTTACATAATGGTTAATGATTAATGGTATAGGGCAATCATATCAAATGGAGAGTGTGTCTGAGGAAGGGAAAGTAGCACTGTATAAGGAACTGCAAAAGAGATATTATGAAACAATCAGAGGGTAATATAGTAAGAAATGATAGTTGTAGAAGTAAAAGAATCTTGAGAAAGAAGTAAGGGAACAGGGAAAGGTGGTGAAGTACTGGGAAGAAATCAGGAGGGGAGGGATGGGCTGAAGGACTTTGTTGGATGAGGGAGTGGATCATTCTCTTTGGTTATGTTTAGGAAATTTTGGATGTCTTCAAGAGATTCTGGAGTGAAGCTGGGTGAGGAGGTCTGAGAAACAAAGATTTTCTTATGTGGAGGAGAAGAGGGAATAGATGTCTAAGGAGCAGAGGGAAAGGTGGGTGTAGGAAAGGATGTGGTAGGAGAAGATGGAGTGGAATGTTTAGATTGTCTGGTGCAAAAGTTAGAGTGAGAAAAAGGAGGGGTAGGCAACAGGGAAGTGGTAGAGATTGGAGTATCTGGATTTACACTGAAAAAGGAATTTGACTGGGGAAGAGATGTAGTAGAGATTCGGGGTAGAGGGAAGATTTTATTTTATTTATTGAATTTTTTTTTGCCTCCTCAACATTGAAGGTCATTAGCAGAGTATTCAAAATATTGTGACAGCATGAGGTTTGGGGTCAAAGCCCCCAAGTAATGAAGTGCAATATGACATCAAAGGTCATATGGTGCTATGGTAAAGTAGAGTAGCGGAAGGGTTAGGAATGAGTTAATGATTAGGGTAAAGTTACAAGTTGAACAGTACTAGAGAGTAGTATAGTAGTAAAAAGAGTAAGAGGTAAGCTGATAGGGTAGAATATAAGGTACAGGTTGTTAGAAAGGAAAGAAGTTAAGGGAATAGGAAGCATTATGATAAAGTGTTGTGGCAAAAATGGCAAAAATGAGTTTACAATTTAGATAATTGGACAGCACAAGGGGATGGAGAAAAGTAAAAGGAAAGGAGAATAAAAGACCTTGCAAAATTAGCCAAGGTGAGGGCTGAGGTACAAGGCAGGGGTGATCCCCCACATTGGGCCTCAGTCCCTGTATCCTAAGCCCCCCCCCCACAACAACAACATGCAAGGGATTTTGGGGGGGGGGTAGAGGGAAGAGATAGAGAGACCTTGAGAAGATGGGAGGGGAGCAGAAATTTTGGAATAGGTAGAAAGACAAAAAACTCATCAGTGTGCTTCTAGTCTGGCCTCACACAGAGTGAGGCCTAGTTTGAATCTGAGTACTGCTACCTCAGATTCGAGCTTGTAGGCAGGGCAGCTCGTATAAAATACATTATGGGAGCCACCACAATTCATACCCGTGCATGATTGACTAGGTTGGGCAAACAGAGGGCAGTGGGCTGTGGAGTGACAGTGTTTGGCTGGTTGGCCAACACACCAACATTTCTGACACTGACAGGGAAGGGGTTGATAGGATCGGACTGGGCAGGACACTCCATCAATATAAACTTCATGGGGGAGGCCATGTCTAAAGAAGCTAATCTTGGCAATATTGGTGTAGGACTTATGTTGGCCTCTGGGAGAAATAGTGTAGCACTGTAATGCCATTGCATAATCAATGAGGCATGCGAGCAAGTCATTTTCAGTCTGACCAGTCCTTGTCCAGGACAATCAGTCAGAGAGACAGTAGCAGTTCCGGTACAAGTATTAAGGGAAGAGGGAGGTTGGGTATGAATAGGTTTGCCAGTGAGGTCAGTCAGGGTAGATATTGCAAAAGCTTGGAACTTAGATGTAACTGTGACAAGGTAAGAATGATCAGAACGACTGTGAAAGAAAATTTTGCCTACCTATTTTTGGAGACATTGTTGGAAGAGAAGGGTATACTCAGAGTATGGGCTGGAGGGGAATCACAAAGAATTGATCCCACTTGGCTGGGTTAAAAAGGGTACTCAATAGGTTTGCAGAGGTGGAAACCGTAGAAGGACGAGGGGTGGTATGGAGAGAGGTAGTTCTGTTGGGAGGAGGACAATAAGGATGAAGATTAGTAATAAGGAAGTGGAGGTAGACAATGAAGAAGACTGTGCATTAGAAGATAGAGTGGATGTTGGGAGAGAGGAAGGGGTGTATTCTGAAGAATGAGTTGATAACTTGGAATGGATAGGGTTAATGGTTAATGGTTAAAAGCAAGATAAATGTGCTAGACATCTAAGGTCATGTAGCACTATAGTTAATGTTAGTGAAAGGTGGTTGAGTTAGTGATTAGTTGTCTAAGCTGGGCAAAGGAATTGGTGAGTTAAAGGGTTAAGGTCGAGTGTTAGATTAGATAAAGGATATGTATGCGTTTGAGGAAAGAGAACAGGTTGTTGATGCAGAAAGTGTGGGATTCTGTAAGGATGTCTGATAGGTTGGGAGGTCGGTGAAGGGAGGATAGGTGGGGAAAAGCAGAGGTACAGGCTGCTTCAAAACGTGGGCACGACAATAGGATGTGTACGATTGAAAGGGGAACATTACATAAGGAACATAGGGGTGGATCAGATTGTGACATCAGATAGGAGTGTGTTAGACGGGTGTGGCCAATGCGTAAGCGGGCGAGAGCAGTCTCCCAACGTCTGTTCCGATGAAATGGAGCTGACCAGGAGGAGATTGATAGTTTTACAGAATGTAATTTATTAGTGTGGAGGCTTGACCAAAAAGATTGCCATCGTTTATACAAGAGGGTCTTAAAGTGTGGGTAATAATCCGTGGCTGGGATACGTGAGAAGCGTGGTTGGTATGATGTGGACATAGCAGCGTGGCGTGCTAGTGTATCTGCCTGTTCATTGCTGGGGATTCCAACATGGCTGGGCACCCAGCAAAATTTGATTGTTTTATGGCGTGTGGACAGGTAGAACAACCAGTTCTGGATCTTACAAACAAGGGGGTTGGTGCTGTGTATTGACTTTATGAGAGTTAATGAGCTACGGGAGTCAGTAAAAATTGTAAAAGAGGAAGAGGAGAGTGAGTATATGTGTTTTAGGGCAAAAAGGAGTGCATACAGTTCTGTAGTAAGGACACTGGATTCAGGAGGAAGGGAGTATTACTGCAAAACCAGCACCAGAGGTGGATTTGGAGCCATCAGTATATACGTGTATACTAGAGGAATGGGTGGAGACATGGTCAAGGAAATGGATGAGAAGGACAGTAGGAGGAATATTTGATTTTGGTGGGTTGGGTAAAACAGAAGAGCAAATATGGGGGTGAGGTATAAGCCATGGAGGGACGGAATGGACAGAGAACGGGAGAGGTTGGAGATGGGGGAAAAGGGGAATGGGAGAGGAGGGTATCCATGTGAGTGGAGAAAGGAGTAGGTAAGCGTGGAGATGAAGCTAAGGTAGGAAGTAGGGATTGTGGGATAGTTAGTTTAGTGAGGGGAAGTTGGTGGAAACGAACATAACATCGGAGAGAGAGAAAGGCGGAATGGATAGGGTTGACAACAAACATCAAGGAGGGGTATTAGTAATAGTTGGAACTGTGGTCAGGAAACCAATGAAATAAAATTTAGATAGGCTAGTTGATGAAGGGGCACGCCTTAATGCCCCTAATAAATGTAAAACATCTTCATTATTGGCCATGGTGAGCCTGAAATAAATGTCATGTGTGGTAAAGCCTGCTCTTAAGTTATGCACACTAAAGAGCTGTGTATTTGTTTGGCCTTGGCTGCATTTGCTGAAGAGAAGTAACTCCTAAAAAGGAGGCTTAAAATCTCAAGTGTGCCTCATAACTAAAAAATTATTTATGCCACAGTCAAGAGCATAGAGAGCAGAGTAATTTTTCCCTTGAGAAGCTGATCCCACATTCACCCTGATGCATAGTTTGGTGTTGCACTGGGGTCTTCCAATGCTATTGGGTTAAAGAAAACCAATAAAAATATTTAAAGCATTAAAAAAATAAATAAATAAATACACTTCATTATGTAACTGTCTCATTACTTAAAAAATAATAAGAGGGCAAAAATACAACAGATGATGCTACTTTTTATGACCTCCATATACAAACAACACTATGTACAAGAAGTTACACTCAAAAATACCCTTGGAGAGTGGAATGACAGATTGTTCTGTAAGATTTCATATAAAATTGCAAGGACTATGAACTGCTAAACTTGTATAAAAATTTAACTGTAATGCATTGTCAATCATCTCTACCAGTAGAAGGTTATAATGTTAATCCTGTCAGATCTGAAAATACCAGTCAAATTTACTGTTTCATATTCAGTAAGGACTTTTAACTACAAAAATAATGTCTACACACATAATAGTGACTTGGTACATAACAGGCAAGGAAAGACAAGACTTACCCTACCCTCACTAATCCAACTAAACCCAACAGCAATACCAGGCATATGTATTCAAGGAATCTTGAATTTTCGACATCATATTGGTGATCTATGTTGCTTTTAATCAAGGCAATCAAGAAGAGACATAGATTTACTATACTAGCTTTCAGAAGACTTCACAGTTTTCTAGCAGACATGCTTTTGATAAAAAAAAATATATATATATATCATCTGATACACTTTTTGACATTTAAATGGCAGATTGTATTCTTAATAGAATTGCAACATGAGTTAATTGGATCACTGAGTGGAGCATAATTTTTTTTGTTCTAAAAATATCATGGTTGCTTTGCAATTGCTGTTTTTTATAAATTCATAGTTTGTATAGAGGAAAGTCCTAGGAAAGTTTGTTAAACATCTTGATCCCCAGTTATATATAGTTTGTTTAATGCACTACAAAATATATATACATCCCAAAATTATATTTTATTCTCAAGAAACTGAATGGAAAAGATATGTAACCGAATATATAAGAAATGTTAGAAAGACTAAATAACATTTTAAACCATTACATAATACACACCTTTAACTTCTATGGAAAAAAATAATCATGAACAAAATGCAACTGCCCACGACAAATTTTAATGGCTGAAAATACGAGAAAAAAATCCACAGGACCAAGGCAGCTACTCCTCCTTAATAATGAATCACCCATTCTGCCTTCAGGAGTTGAAAACACTTTTGAACCAGCGACTCCTTTCAGCTAAGACAAAAACTCTGCATACGAACCATAGAACATTCAAAGTGATTACAGTAATGGGAAACAAAATAAACCAAAAAATTTACGCTTAATACACACTTGCCTCTCAATTCCACTAGATGGTTTATTTGACTCTGGATCCCAAAATATAGGTGATTTGTGTCCCTTATTTCTAAACTGTTGACCCTGAATCATATCATAAGTAACTGCTTAGTTCTTACTGAACACAACTGAACATGGTAATCATGGGTAATCTATTCATCTGCATTAGAAAATGTGCACAAAGAGGATTGTTAGAATATTACACAAATGACTAACCCAATAAGCAACATGATGATGATGATGTTGGTGTTGATATTGGTAATGGTGGTGATGATGATGATGATGATGATGATGATGATGATGATGATGATGATGTTGGTGATGATAATGATAATGATGATGATGATGTTGGTGATGATGATGATGATGATGATATTGACGTTGATGACGTTAATGATGTTGATGATGACATCATTACGATTGATGTTGAAGTTGAAGTTGATGTTGATGTTGATATTGATGATGATGATTGATGATGATGATGATGATGATGATGATGATGGTGGTGATGATGATGATGTTGACGATGATGATGATGATGATGACATCATTACGATTGATGTTGAAGTTGAATTTGATGTTGATGTCGATACTGATGATGATGCTGGTGATGATGATGATGATGATGATTATGATGTTGATGATGATGACATCATTACAATTGATGTTGAAGTTGATAATGATGATGATGATGGTGGTAGTGATGGTGATGGTGATGATGGTGATCTTGATGATGATCTTGATGATGATGATGATGATGATGATGATGATGATGATGATACTAACAATAATAATAATTATTAATTATATTATAATTATTATCATAACAATAGTAATAATAGTAGTAATAATAGTAATAACAGCAGCAGTAATAGTAGTAGCAGTAGTAGTAGTAGTAGTAGTAGTAGTAGTAGTAGTAGTAGTAGTAGTAGTAGTAGTAGTAGTAGTAGTAGTAGTAGTAGTAGTAGTAGTAGTAGTAATAACAACAACAATAATAATAATAATAATGAATTATCATCATCATAACAGTAACATTATATAACACTAATAACAATAACAATAGTGATAATAATAATGATAATGATAATAATGCTTGTGATAAAATTATTAATAGCACTGATTGTGACATCATTAACAATAGTAACAACAGTAACAATGTTAACAATAGTAATGATAATAACAATAATAACAAAAACAATGATAATAATTATTATCATTATCAATATCATTATCTTTTTTATCATTATTGTTACTATATCACCACCATCATCATTAACATCCTCATTATCACTAATAACATCACTATCATCATCATCATCATTATTGCTTTAATAAATATTATCATCACAATTATTATCGCTATCACTATTACTATCACTGTTGTAACTGTCAAATGCTACTGCCACTATCATTATTATTACTATTATCATTATTATTATTATTACCATCATCATCATCATTATAACTTTCATTAATACTATCATTATTATTATCATTATTACAATAATTCAATTAGGACAACTATTATCATTATTATTCTAATTATTATTGCTTTCAGTATTACTATTTCATTACTACTATCATTATAATTTTATCCTTATTAGCATTTTCATCATAATCATCATCATCATCATCATACAATAACTTGTTCAAACAAACAAACAAACAAAAAAAAATAATAAAAAATGGATGTGTTCAAGAATCAGACAGTTTCCTACAAACACTTTGTGTCTCACAGCAACCTTCTACACATTCTCCTATTAACTACAAGGAAAATGCTCACTACAATTTCTTTCCTTTTTAATGTGCACTTCCAACTGCTATGGAATCTTGTACAATATTGCTAAACACAGCAAGGGGTTACAGATACTATGAGGTCAACTATCTATTATATATATTACACAGATAGTTATTAAACTGGGTGTTCAAACTAAATTACTTGTCCAGCCGACACATATTTGCATTACTTAATGATTGGGCTAATAGTAATAGTAATAAAAGTCTGTGTATGTAACATTATTCACCAATCAATAACTGATGACTCAATGAAGAAAATAATAAAAAAATAGTATCTATGTCATCCATGAAAAAAAAAAAAAGTAGATTTGGCCACTGCTATACAATTCTTAATTAAGAAACAGTTGCTGAATGATATCAATGCACAAACTAAGACACAAAACATTAAGTTCTTGAGTTGAAGCTACAATATCAACTATGAGTCACTTAGCTCAGTCACTTAACATGACATGTAAACGTTCTTATTCTTTTCTTTCGATATGTATGCCTTCAAGGTACTCCCTTTGCAACCTATTACAAGTTCACCACTGCTTACAAACACCACTGTCAATATGCACAGCAATACAAAACCTGTGTGTGTGTGTGTGTGTGTGTGTGTGTGTGTGTGTGTGTGTGTGTGTGTGTGTGTGTGTGTGTGTGTGTGTGTGTGTGTGTGTGTGTGTGTGTGTGTGTGTGTGTGTGTGTGTGTGTGTGTGTGTGTGTGTGTGTGTGTGTGTGTGTGTGTGTGTGTGTGTGTGTGTGTGTGTGTGTGTGTGTGTGTGTTTTTATGTACCCATGCGTGTGCTTTCGTGTGCGGGTATACATACATGTATACATACATACATACATACATACATACATACATACATACATACATACATACATACATATATATATATATATGTGTGTGTGTGTGTTTTATATCCATGTGTGTATGTATATCCATGTATGTATGTATTTATGTTTATACATATTTATGTATATATGTATTTATGTATATATGTATTAATGTATGTATGTCTTTATGTATGCATGTATGTGTCTGTCTGTGGGTGTATGTATGTGTGTGTATATATGTGTATGTATGTAAGTGTATGTATGCATGTGTGTGCATGTCTATGCACATGTGCAAGTGTGTGTTTGTTTTCATAATGAAATTTCTTGATGGCTTTCCATCTGCACAGATACAGATATGATTATAGGTACACGACTGCATGTGGATATTTGCATATGCAGTCATATCTGTATGCACATGTGTATGAGTGATTAATGCATGAATGCATTAGTGATTGCCCTAGTTTTAAGTGCACAAGTGTATGTGTGACAGTATTAATACGTGTGAGTGAATGTGAGCACAGTTGAGCGAAAGCACAAGTCCGTGAGTGTGCGTGTGCTCGAGTGAATGTCAATGTATATGGATGTAGGTTTCTCTCTACATATGTATGTGCTTGTACAATATGAGTATCACCTGCAGGAATAAAGATGGATATTGATGAAGATGAAGGACTTTATTTCCTATATAAAAAAAGGAGGAAAATTGGTCTGGTATAAAATACAAAGTAGTTTCAGAAAAATATAGTGACAATAAATTACACTTTCCTGAGATAATGACATAAAATTGAGAGCAATAAAAAGTTATAGATGATCCTATGAGCAATGACATAAGGAAAGTTAAAATACCATAAACAGTTCATTCACCTGAAGAAAACTATACACCAGGCTTATAATACCAAAGCCCAAGTGAAATCTCATTTTCATAAGACAAAGATAATTAGAGAGAAAAAAAAAACAGAAAAAATTACCTTAAAACCTCCAAAATAGACCTAGATTATGGCAGGACAAAAAACAGGCACAATTCTGAAACCGTAATAAAATACACATATATCCTTAGTTTCTAGAATGCTTGCATAAAAGATAATTGAATCTCTCCACATAACAAACAAACAAATTTTGGACAATCAACTTCAGATTTGTACCTTAACCTACTCTATCTATCTATCTACACCGTTTTGCCATTATCATACACAATTTTATTCTAAGTATATTTACATCACTATATAAAAGAAATACAATGAAAATGGAACTCTGCAATATTTTTGGGGTGTATCAAGTGCACGCATTTGGGCCAATTGGATGTCACAGTGCAGAAGATAGAATGTCTCAATAAAAGATTTTATCACAATCTCATAATTTTCATTATGAAGCTTTCCCTCTGTTCAGTTTAAAACAAATAATTTTTTTTTTTACCCTATTTCAAGTCGCAATATCAATTACCTTCCAAAATGCATATTACTGCAGAATCTATAGCACTGTCTGTGGTGTTTAATTGGCCATCAGGTCACATTATGTACAATAAGCAGACCTGTTTCTGTAACAGGTTCCAATATCTTTAAACCAAAATAAGAATGAGAAGGGCAGTAGCTGAAAACCAGTATTTCCAATTCACTGAATTAGTTTATGATTTACATTTACACATTATATTCATCTGTATAAAAATCTATTTGCCTCTTATTGTGTTTATACTGCACAAGCTCATTATAAAAAAGATGGAAGATTCTCTAGTTCATATAAAATTCATAATAAATTTACTAACATTGGTCAGGAAATCTATAGTATCAATCATCATAATACTGTGAACAGAGATGGGCAATATCTCGATACATGTATCAGTGATACATATCGATGAATATTTCTGTACTGGTATCGGTACCGCCTTAGCAACTCAATAACTGTATTGTTTTATCTGTATTGCTGCAGTGTGTGAAAAAAAGAAAAAAAAAAAGAAAAAAAATCAATACATCGATACATTTACATAACCAATTTGTGATTAAAATTAATATTCATGAATTGCAAAATGACCCTTCTCTTTATTTCAGTTCTTATTAATGATATTATTAAGACATTTCATGTGCTGCAGAAATTAAATAAAAATGTGATTTTTTTCATTTAAGACATGCATCTCATATTGCTAGGGAAGACAACTAAGTTATCCTTTTTAGAATAATAGACAAAATCAGATAAATGGAGAAATATTCAGGATTAAGGTGCTGTATAGAAAGTCTAGATATTGTGTAGAATTATGTGTCATTAGCTGGCAAATTTTGAAATATGCTTCTTTCATTCCAACCCTAAATATGTTACCCAGGATTTTATTTCTAAAATTTGGAAAGAAATTTATCTACCATAGAATATCTATTACATATAAAAAAATAAATGATAATTTGTGTAATTTCTTGTTTATTCATATTTTCTCTCAAGACTTTTTATCTGTACAGATAAGCACAGATAATGCATCTCTGTGTCTCTGTCTCCAAATCAGATATTTACATGTCACTGGGGATTTCTCTTACAATAAAGTATCTGTAATACATGTATTGGTATCGGTATCACTTTAGCTATCTACAAAGAATCGATGTATCGGAATCGCTTCAGCCAATTTTAAAGTATCGATGTATTGGTATCACTTTATACAATCTTCTGTATCAATGCCCATCACAGACTGTGAAAGAACTTTACAGACATCAAAGTCCATTCCCTAGATAACCTGGCAATTTATGTATCTCAAAATTAAATATCTCCCACCACCAAAAGCAAGTTCTAATGTATCATATTTTCAAAATGTAGGCAGACATTGCACAAGGATTATATTCATGACCACAGCCTAAAATGTTGGACTAAATATCTAACATTCTTGACTAGTTTGAATTTTGCATTCACTTTCTGCTAAAAACACTAGCTCTATATAATGGCAACACAAAAAAAAAAATCCATTTAATAAGTGACACCAAACAAATACTATGAACCTATGAGTCCATTCTAAACAAAAAAGTTAAACATTCCTTCTCAAACCTAGAGAATCTCCACTTTACACTTACCAAATAGCAGTCATTAACAAAACACCTTGGCATGTAAATCAATAATCAAGGTTTCTGCATTTGTAAATACAGCAAACCTGAACTGTGAGTAGCAAATAGTGCTGCCTTTTTGTGCTACCAAACCTTAAACAACAAGGCTATACACCACCACCAATTATTGCTAAAGCACCTTTCCTGGTAGATTCAAGAAAAATAGTATTTTTTAATTACATGGAGAGGAAGATTCATGGTACATGGATTCTAGAATTACACTGTCCTTATGTCTGAGGAGAGCATGTTGCAAATTATGTCTGTAATTCCGCAAGCAAAGATCTTGGCAGAAGTACATACACTAGATGCAATTTCACCTCATAATTACAGTTCTCATCTGTATATGATAATGTGTAGAACAATCATTCACTTTCTTTTTTTTTTCTTTCTTTTTTTTTGCCTCATTATTTATACTGCTTTACAACATCAACAAATAATGTAGGTTCACTGTTTTTCATAACCATTACCCCTAATGAACTGTCCCATATGTCGAAGGTGCTTTGGCTATTGTGGTTTCAGGGACAGGAACCCTACATAACAGGACAAAACTCTGTTACAAATAGACCATCTGAAACTTTAAATTTAGCTATTTATGAAACAACATGGAACTATATTAACTATATACTGAGTACCTAAATATTTCACATTGTACATGTTGAATCAAAGTGCACAAAAGAGCCTTCCTCTTACTAAGACTGTTGCACACGACGATACACGATATAAGATATCGCTACAAAACCCAAAGCAACTGTGAGAGATGCCAAGAAAGTTTTACTCTGCTTTAGAACTCCTCTTAGCATAGTCATGTGTACTGCATTAATTGAGAAGTATGTAGCCTTCTGTAATAAAAGAAAATCTGTGGATTAGCAGAATAGTAAAGACATTTACTTATAAATGTCAGTAAAATACAGCATTTATATATATATATATATTTAGTTCACATATACTCTGGTTTCTTAACCCAAAGGATCAGGATGACATCATCACATCATCAAAAAATTTGGCTGATGTCCAGGCAACAGAAGTAACATCATTAAAAGTTTGGCTGAGGGCTAAGGTACTAGTGGTCATTCAGGAAGGGACAGAGTTTTGACTACCTAGAGAGAACATATGAGTTTACTCAATGAAAACAGTCTATAACCATCTTGATACAGCATAAAAAATTATTAATCTGACCTTGGAAAGAAGAAGAAGAAGCTTTTCCAGAAAAAGAGATGATAATATTACCAGGGGGAGGCAAGGAATCATAATATCACACATGAGTGTTAGTGAGGGTCAGAATTACAACCCATAAACTCAGAAGAGTCCCCACTCAAGAAAGCCTAATGCCCAATTTTGGTCCAGGCTTGAGCCCGAAGCACCCCAATCCGACAGATTAATCCCTACAATCCGGATGACATGATGGCTCAAGGGGATGGTGAAGTGAATATGATGTAATGGGCAAATCTGGCTGCGGGCCAAGTGACGCACACTTGCCATCTTGAGCGTTTCAGCTGAGGGCAGAGGTGACGAGAAAGACTTGCCACGAGTGCACAGACCTCTTGGGAGGGTGATTAGACTCATATGGCAATTTTGTATTATTCCAAACAATAAACAAGGAGTCTGTGAGCCATGACTAGAAGAGCACCAGCTCCATGGAGGACACTATTTCCATCCTCAGCATTATATTCCTGGCACTGTGACCAGGTTGTATCACAGAAAATTGAATATTATGAAAAAAAAAAGACAAATACCAAAATGTTAAAATATTTTATTGTTATTGAGTTGTAGACTAACTAGAGAGATGATATGGAGTCTATGCAAAGAAAACAGTCTATGAATATCTGGATAATGCAAATTAAATGACAAATATGGACATGGGAAAATGGCAAAAGAGCTAAAAATGCTTATGGGTAAAAAGAGAAAATAATATTGCAAATAGGAGGCTTAGAGCCTTGTCACCACACACAAGTGTTCAAGTGCGGCAAGCCAGCAAGCCATGTACCTGGCAGAGTGGCCATTCACATAAACCTAATGACTGGATTTTCAGCCATGTGATTGCCATGAAGCAACCAGATCTAAGGGGCTAAGTTAAAGGTAAAATATTTTCATAAAATTTTCACTACCCTTTTTTTTGACAGCAAAGAAAAGAGAAAAGCAAATTAGCCCATTTGAGTAAGAAAATAAGTGTAAATACATACAGAGCTTTCCTTACCTTAAAAGAATCTCTCTTCTGTATACGTTCCCAATATGCTTGTAATGATGGACGTTTACCTTCAGACCAAAATCTTCGTTCATATCCCAGCTGATTCAAGCGATTTAAAAGAATAGCTAAATCTACATCAGCAATGCTGAATAATGATCCACACAACCAACAGTCTACATTATCTGTCAAAGTAAGAAGAAAAAAATATTAATAAAATGTCTAATAACTCTTGTTAATTGTTATACATTGAGTGTTCATAGCTTCTGAAAATTGGTATTTACTTTCTAACCTTGCATCTTAGAAAGTAAATTTGAAAACAAGTTTCATGAATGAAAAACCAATCCTTTATTTCAGTTTTAATCATTTATTCAAAGCAATTCAGATTGCATCATTAGTACCAAAATGTCACACGAACTCTAACCCTCGTCCTCAAGATTTGAAGGGGGTTACAAACAAGAGTAGTACATAACTTCATCAATGATTCCCTCTTACAATAATGTCCATAATGCAACCCCACCCCCCTAAACAGCTCTACTTCAACCCCTAACTCGAATCATGCCTGTACAATGCAGAAAAAGTACAAATTTTGTCAAATTTACTATATATTTCTTTCCTTGCATATGCTGCTTTGATATATTAGTAACTGAGGAAAACTTTATTAGGTTGCTAGAGAAGAATATCAAATTATGAAACATGTTTTAGTGCATTTTCATACTAGCAATTAAGTCTGAAATATAGCCTTAAGTAGGTACCATTTTTTAACAATTTTGAAAACAAATACTGATAAAAGTTCATTGGGTTGGCTTACAATGAGCTACTATTATAAGTTTAGTTTATAAATCTACTCAATAACTCACAAATGAAAAATATACAACCACTGAAACTACACTCAGACAACTACAGCCCACAAGCCCAGAAATTAACTCCTTTAGTCTTATTCATCACAAATAATGCAATCCACGTGTAGTCTGTTCTATTCACCACAATCCTTAACTCAGCCCACAGATGACGTAGGGTTCATGTCACAGCTGGCTTGGTAGTGGCTCTGGGCAACAGGTCATTCACCTCATGTTACAATGATGCATTACACTTTATACTGTTCTTTATACAAACCCCACATCCACACCACATGGTTGGGGCATGAAGGAGAACGGGATGTGTAATACTATGATTGGCTATTGTTTTGTATAAAGGGTGAATTTTTGCACATAAATCATGCACCAAAAAACTACGTTGTTTTGAAAAAGGCCACAGAGGCAAGCCGATTCAGATACAAATAATACCCAAAACAGAGACCAAGTCAACCCCATATTCTCCTAGAGGAAATGTGTTACAAAAATGGAAAGCAGTTTCCCTCTTAACTTTTTCATTATCAATGAGACAAATGTAGTGTCTACTAACATAACTGGTATTGTTTACATGTTTCTTGTACTTTTCCTCCAGCAACATCCTTGATATCATCCCCATTCTCTCA